GGTTCTGTGTCGTCTACTGTTGTCTGCTCTAATTGCGATTTCTTTCTTGCTACTGTAGTGATCTGATGCAAAAACGACCACAGGAGCACGTGTCTGCCGCCTGAGTACGTGGAAACATCGCTCTACCCCCACCGTAGCTGTCAAGTAGACACAAATATTATTCGGACAAATATTAGATTACTCGTACATCATGAACGTCTCCAAGGCCACTTCTTAAATTTTCCCTTCGCTCCCACCTTCCCGTGAGCTTGCCTATGCTATGGCTGTGATGTTAAGCCGTTTCTTAATGTTGCAATTAAAGTTTGAGACACCCACTACAAAAGCTTTCAGGTCGTAGACAGGGTCTAATTGTTAATTGTATTTTTATCACTTGTACTAAAAGTGAGACGATATTCAAGTGTTCAGTTGAATCAGTGAATGTCACAAAGCAAACAAGATGTTTGTTTTCTGCCAGCACCAGCTACTGCTGACCTTACTATTAAGTGAGTTGTTTATTTGAATTAAAATAGAAGGAAAGTCACCAAGCCTGCCTACATTAAATGTACAACACACGACGTAAAGGTGATTTTATTTTGCTCGTAGGATTACACAACTCACTCTTGTGCCGTATCCTTTCCTATTAACAAAATAAAATTACTTTTATAACTTGTATCGTAAATTCCTATTTTGTTTCGTCGGCAAACACGCGCTTACCTCCTTGGCAGGAAATCATCTAACCAATGCTTTAAGAGCGCGACCATAGCAATGGTAGTTAAAACGCTCGAAAGTCCATTGAAATATTTTAGCGGACTCTCGGGTTTAGATTTTACCGGTTTCCTAAATCTTTGAATAATAATCTCCCTTTAGTCTCTCTTGTCCTTTTTGTCCCACTTATTCCTTTGTCCCGCTTCCCCCCGTTGTTCTTTTGTCTCATTTCCTCCCTTTTGTCCCCATGGCTCCCTTTTCCCTTTTGTTCTCCTTGTTCCATTTTATTCCCCTGTAACATTTACTCCATTGTCCCCATTTTCTCCGTTGTCCTCATTTTCTAATATGTTCCCCTTTCCTCATTTCTCCCATTTCATCCCATTTATATATTTTGTTCATTTTGTCCCCATTGTCCCCTTATCTTCTTCGTCCTCCTTTCCTCGCTTTGTACCACTTGTGTCCCTTTCTCCTTGTGGTCGTTCTGCGCACTGCGATTGTCGTTTAAAAACACTGTACCAACTGCCCTTGCAGATCATGGAGAGTACTGACACTTCTTAACTTATGAAAGTGTTAAATTCTTATTTTAAATAACTAGAATCACTAGAAATAACAAAAAACATTGAATGATAGACGTCCTCTATTAATCTTTAAGGAGTCGGCCGGAAGATTAACTACTCGTCTCCACTGTCGCAGTTAACCTTCCGGCCTCGGACTTGTTACGTCGACAAGTATTATTTGAGTTGCAGTTAGCGAGCAGGAGGAGACCTGGGGTGGCTGCGGTGGCGGCCGCCCTCGCTGCCCGTGTCGTCGGTGGAAGTGGTGTCGAGGTCGGTGCACGCGCGGCCACGTGCGCTCCCGCGCCGCCGCCCCCACTGCGCCAGCAGCCCCGCCTCCGGCCGTCACTTTGCGCAGGAAGAAGCGGAGTAGCGCTTCACCCCCCCCCTCATGGCCGCCAGCGCTGCCAGAGGGCCGCGGAGGGGCAGCGACGGTGGCGCCGCGCTGCACGCAGTTGGGTCCTGGGTGGCGAGGTCGGATGTGGTTTACCGCGCGCGGCGCGTGCCAGTCACGAAGGGTGCGGAGCGGCAGCTGCCGATCGGTGTGACCTCGACGGAGCGCAGGCCTCCACGCGCGCTGGGGTGAGGCACAGTCACTTACACTGGGCTCCCCCCCCCGCCCTACAAACACCTTTCATCTCCCTTCCCCTTCTTCCTTCCTCGCTCTCAAATAAACTTCTACTAATACACGAAAGAAACCCCACTCGCCTCGCCGCCTTTCCTTCCTTAGTCAAGTCTCTTTCCAAGATCATCCAAACACGTAAGTTGGTGTCTGCGTAGGGGTAGATCAGTCACAATAGCGAATGCTGCTGGTTGTCCTCCTGACATTGAAAGGTTTCATATTTTACATAAGCAGTAAAAGTGTTTTGGTTTCATTCACAGGAATATTCACGACCCTTTACTGTACCTTTTGTGGGGATACTTATGATTATGGTGTCATCGTACGTTTTTCAGACGGGTTAAATTTGTATTTGTCCATATATAATGAAATAAAAGTGCGTAGCTGCAAAGAAGTGTCCAAGGGGTTCTTCCCCGTCCCTGGTGTGCCCCCGGCAGACGACAGCAACCGGTAAGCCTGCAATCCTGGGTTCTGGCGATCGGTGGAGGTAGGTCGCGCGGAGGAAGTGGTCCTTGCGGGAGAGTTTGGGTGAGGAGGCGTGCCCGCTTCTCCTGGGCGCACCGCCCCCAGCCCCCGCCGGCCGCCGCCGCCGCCGGCCCCCGCGGCGCCGCCCCCAAAGCGCGCCCTGCCCGTACGCGCGGGCTCGCGCTTTCGAGAACGCACAGCTCTTGCTTCAAGGCTGTGAGCCTCCGCACCTCCCACACAGCCACTAGCCACTAGCCACTAGCTGGTTTGCTAACAACACAGTTTCTCGCATTCTTGTGCTAAATGTTACGTAGTTTACATTAAATGCTGTTCTATTGGACACGAGGTCCTGCGACTTGTATACGTTCCTTTGTGGTATGACCCGTGAAAAAGCATATAATATATAAAATTTAGGGGTATAATGTAGAGAATCGTGAAGGAAGGTA